ATTTTAGTTCTGTCGTCAGATATTGATAGTTTGGATGAATTTCCTTGGTTATTTGTGAGGAAAGGTAGGGCGTTAGTGTTTATGTCAAGAAAAACCAGTTACAGGAGAAGACAAGATGTTAATTCTACACAGTGACAACGTATATGCTTTTGTTAGATTTATATAGAAAAAAGTATCTTGAGAAACATAAATGTTTCAAAAAGACAATTAAAAATTTCCCAATGATACAATAAAAGTAAATTATTTAGGCAAAACCAAAGCTTTAACATTAGACTGTCTTGTTATTTTTAGAACAAAAATGACATTTGGTTTTCTCATGATTTGTGATTCTGGTCTTACTTAAAATTTTTCTTACCAGGTTTATTTTACTTAGTAAAACTTTGCCTTGCATAGCCAGTTCTGTGATAAATAGTCTGATGTTCTTTGTTCATGACACCTTGTTCTATTTAATTGCTTCCAGAAAATGTAAGGCATCCTGTTCCCTCTTCCTGCCTATGACGAGGAAGGGGCCCTGCTGTCAGACTATCAGTGTTACCCAGGTGTCAGGCTCCTGTTGCAGATGTTGGCCTCATGACTTTTCCTTAGCAAGCTGCTGGCAGGTTCTGACCTTGCCAGGTGATGCTTTCTCTGTAGAAGATGGACCTTTGCTAGCGGTTGAGTTGTGCGGTTACTGGGCTGTGCACTGGGATCAAGTCTCCAGGACTGCTGGGTTGATGAAGCTGCTTGCACCACTTTTCGATTGAGTAGTACCTCAGTACTGAGGGCTGCATGTGGCAGAAGGCCAGTCTACAGGCCTTGACCTAGCTGGCCATCTTTTCTTTAATTGTTCAGATTAGGTTGTTGCTGGCTGATTGTGAAGGTTGAGGATTCTAAAGTCAGTTGCCTTTTGCATCATGCTTGCAAAGATTGGTCTATACATCACATCCCTTTTGGGGAAGGTTGAAAAAGAAAGGAAGAAGAGAAGGTGGCCTGTATCAGAAGCATTCCTAAGACTTGACAGTAAGCTTCTGCTTGGTCCTGTAGGCCACAGGTTATCCCCACTTCCCCACCCCACCCCACACGTGAGACAGGGTTTCTCTGTGTAGCACCACTGTCCTGGAACTCACTCTGTAGATCAGGCTGTCCTCACAGAGATCGCTTGCCTCTGCCTGTGAAGTGCCACACTTTACATGGTTTCCTTCAATTTAGGAGTAGGTGTGGGAAGAAAGTCACTGTGGTTCAGCCCAAGGAAGGCAAGGAGTAAAAGATTGTAATGAGTGTTGACTGGAACAGATTCTAGATCTTGCAGTAAACAGTTCTTGAGGGGAGTGTGTCAGTTATTCAGCAGGCCATCGAGTTGCCATGAACATGCTGCTTACGGCATTAGGGCACTGGAGAGAGGATGCAGAGACGGTTAGGTTAATCTAACTAGAAAGTCTTGTCTCATGGAACTAGGAGACAGAATAAAAGGGGCTGTGAAACTGAGCTCTGCACCTTTTCATCAGAAGAGGGCATTCTTGGTGTTAGATTTCTGTCACCGTAACAGAAGAGCTGAGATAACCGCACATAGATGAAAGGTTTACCTGATCTACTTCTGGAGGCTTCAGTCCAGAGTCAGTCAGTCCCATCGCCTCTGCTGTGGTAAGAGTACATGCTGGTGAGAGCTCTTGCTTATCTCGAGAGGAGGAGAAGGGCCCTCTTAAAGAACTGCTACTAGGTTCCATCCCTTCAAGGTTGTCCTCTGTCCAGTAGTGCCAAGCTAAGACACCATTCAATGGAGGGGGTTTTGAGGGGCATTTACGATCAAATTGTAGCTCCTGGACACCTGGAATAATGAAAGCTACTCACTTTCAGGAGGAGAGGGGCTTGGTCTGGGTAGGGTTAGTGGTGTAGTTGCAGTGAGAGAGGGAGAAAGGGAGGGCTTGACAGAGAAAGAGAGGACAGTGTCTGGGGGAAATGAGTGTTTTCTTTCTTTCTTTTTTTTTGGTTTTTCGAGACAGGGTTTCTCTGTGTAGCTTTGGAGCCTACCCTGGCACTAGCTCTGGAGACCAGGCTGGCCTCGAACTCACAGAGATCCGCCTGCCTCTGCCTCCCGAGTGCTGGGATTAAAGGTGTGCGCCGCCAGCCCCCTGGCGAAATGAGTGTTTTCAAAGGGGAAAGTTAGCATGACATGATGTCTTCTTTAGGTTTGTTGAAAAATCTGATGTTCTCAGCTTGAAGCCAGAAAATCACTGGGAAGCCAGTGTTGTCTAGTTTTGTCCTGGTTGGCATTTTCAGCCTTGGCTGTTCTGTGCCAGCCATCTTGATTTCTCTTCATCTGCAGCGGCATCCATGGCTTCTCTCCAGTCATACCCTCTGTTTCCTTGACTCCATACTCAGGGGTCTTCATCCCAAGGTGTCTCGAAGTCTTACTTGATGCTGTTTCTCTTGTGTAGATAGTTACTCTTCTGTCATGTTCCTTGGAGAGTTGGATTGGCACAGCAACAGAGTGGTGTGTTTGGGAAAGGTTGTCAAGCCTGGCTCTTACTGGCCCTTGGCTAGCCTGCCTGTTTGCTGCTTCTGTCTAGTAAGCCTGGGATAACAGACAGGTCTGTGTGGAACTGCCACCTCAGCAGGGCTCAGAGGAACGGGGCCAGGATGGAGGGAGAGGCCAAGCACTTGACAGACACATGCCTAACTTGTGCCTTAGCTCGCCATGTGTGTGTCTTAGTCTGCAAATGCTTTAGTATTGAAAATAACTGTTTTCTCCCTCATTCTGTGAAGACTTTAGTGCAGATACACAAGTTTGTAGACTTGTGAGTAATTTTTTAGTCTATTTTTTGAGATACAAATCATATATCTCATGATCCGTTTATTAAAAGCATACAATTTGTCCCCCCCACCCCCGCCCCTTTTTTCTTTGAGACAGCCCTGGCTGTCCTGGAATATGGAATATAGACTAACTAGGCTGGCCTTGACTTCACAGATTTCTGCCTGTCTCTGCCTCCCTGGTCCTGGGATTAAAGGCGTGTGCCACCACTGCTTGGTTGGTGGCTTTTTTTAAGTCAACATGTGCAGTTGTCATCATAGTCAGTTTTAGAATATTTTTACCCCCGCCCCTGCTATTTTGATGTTGATGATGTATAGGAATAGTGTGGACTTCATGCTTCATTGCTCTGCTTGGGGAAGCCCTCACCTTTCCCTACACTTCTCCCCTTGCCTGCCTATTGCAACCCTTAGTGAGTATCTCCTGATGTGAGGTAATTTTTATGTCTGTCATTGCCTGTTTTTCTAAGAATGTCAGCATTATGGACATGGCTTACAATATTTAGTGTGTGGAGGTCGGTACTGAGATGTTTGTAGGATGAGCTGGTTTCTGGAGCTGGCGAGGTGGCTCAGTGAGTGAAGGTACTTGCCACTCAAGCCTGAAGACCTGGGTGTGATCTCTGAATTCAGGGAAAGGTGGGAGATGAGTCCATAGATTTATCCTTTGACCTCCAAATGTGTGCCATGACTTGTGTGCCACTACCCCAGTGATAATTAATTTAAAAATTTTAAGAGCTGGTTTCTTCATTTTTTTCAGATGGAAACTGAGGCTGCAAGTTTATGCATCAAAGTATAGCCCATTGCTTCCATGAAAAATACAATGTGAACTGTATCATTAAATATTTTCTAGTAACTGTTAAGAGGAAGATAAAGTTAATCTAGCATGTTCACAATGCTACCATTTAAGTGTATAGTCAGTATAAAAGTTATTAGGCACTTTGTACCCCACCCCGAGCTGCCCCCATGGAATATGTGAGTTCACTGTGTATCTCTGTCTTATGGCGTGTCTCCATTTGGAACAACCATATCCCTCGTGCACGTTGATTAGTCTGCTAGCGGCTTCTCTGTAGGAGAGCCGGAGTCAGTCTGACTTTTAAGTCTCCGTGTTTCTTCCCTTCCAGTTGTGGATGTTAGTGAGCAGGGAGTGGCTGACCACTTGCTGGGTGTTTGTTGCCTCATTTGATTTTCCCAGTTAATTGAGGGAGGGAGGGAAGGACATCAAGGACATCAAGATCTAGAGACTTTAAATAAAGTGATTAAATGTTTGAAGTTTTTAATTGACTGGGTCAGTAATACACACACACACACACACACACACACACACACACACTGAGAATTGGACTCGGTGTACATGTTAACATACATTTATTATAGAACTGTATTTCTCAGGTGACATATTATAGACTGGATTCTCTTATCAGTTACTTCTGTTACTGAGAGATGAATGTAAACTGGAAAGTTCCCTCTCCCCCCAACTCATGGTTTCCATGCCGTGGTTCTCAGCCTTCCTAACGCTACAACCCTTTAGTGCAGTCTCTCATGTTGTGCTGACCCCAACCATAAACTTATTGCTACTGTTATGAATTGTAATGTAAAGATTTGTTTTCTGATGGTTGTAGGCGACTCTGTGAAATGGTTGTTGGACCCCCCCCCCCCCACAGGGTTTGTGGCCTACAAGTAGAGAACCATTGTTTTAGAGGGTTCTGTCCATGGCTGCTTGGGCAGAACCTCATGGTGTCAGCTGCATGAGGCCGACCAAGGCTTTTTCACCTCATGGTGTACAGAAAACTGAGTGTCAGACCCCTCCCTGATCTCCCTTCACCTCACCGTGGTTTACTTATACCAGCTAAGAACTACACCCTGAAGTTTTCAGAACCTGCACAAAATTATACTACCAGCTAGAGACCAAGGGACACTTCATGACATTGTATCTCCCTCCTCTCATTCTTTTGAGACTGGTCTCTTGAAGACACTCCAAGTTAGCCTCGAATTCATTGTCTCCCCTCCCACCCACCTTGCTGGGATTATAGCTGTGTCTATCACCATGCCCAGCAGCAGTTCTTCTGAAGAATTGATTTTCCCAGGTTTTCTTGAAATTCCATCTTTTGTATGATAACCAGTTTTTTTTTTTTTGAGACAGGGTTTCTCTGTAGCTTGTGTAGGTTGTCCTGGAACTTGCTCTAGATCATGCTGGCATTGAACTCACAGAGATCCACCTGCCTCTACCTTCCGTGTGCACTTCTGGGGCCCAGTTGCCAACTGGGGTCTCCCCATTGCTGCCATCAATGATATGAAGAAGTCTCCAGAGATTATCAGTGGGCGGATGACCTTCGCCCTCTGTTGCTATTCCTTGACATTCATGAGATTTGCCTACAAGGTACAGCCTCGAAACTGGCTTCTGTTTGCATGCCATGTAACAAATGAAGTAGCCCAGCTCATTCAGGGAGGATGGCTTATCAACTATGAGATTAGTAAGAAGGCGTCTTCATAGCAGTTCGAGGACCAGCTCTTGAAAGGGACAGTGCCTCAGCCACTGCTGCCAAGCCACAGATCACATCAACATAAATGGTCTTGCCGAAGGGAAAACACGGGAATGCTATCCTTAATTACCATGCCAACATTATAGAAGTCAGAGTCCCTAAACCAACTCTCTGCTGCATTATCAATGCTAAAATTTATTTGTCTTCATCAAGAGTAGTTCAAAATATGCAACTAATTTAATAATTTTGAATGATGGTTTTATCTGTAGAATTGTGAGGTAATGTGTATATTATCTATTGGGATTTGTGTAATAAAAATCTAAGGAACAAAATTTTATAACTATAAGCACTTACTCAAATTCTTGACTGTTTCTTTAATGACTGTAGTATATTCCTCAGTTGGCCACATGTCTACACTACTTTCCAGTGGTAACAAGTGTTTTCCATAGTGTGTAGATTCTGATCTGTAACTTAATGGCAATAAATGACTTAAATATTTGCTAAAAAAAAAAAAAAACAGAAGAGATTTTGACTTGCTGTCTTGATTATCTGAGGAACAGTTAATTAGATTAGGTGGTAGGTCAGATGAGGTGAACTTCTTTTTCTCCCTTGGGGCTGATTTTCCATAACTCGATTGAAGGGCACTACCATGGTCACACCTGGGCCCTGCTGTAGTGTGCGTGGTGGGCAGGGCTTTCACTCTTGGCTTTGGCCTGCCAAGTTTTGTGTAGCTGTATGTTGGTGTGAAGTTTCTCTCCACTGAGGACCAGAAGAGGTGGTGCTGGTGGCACTTGCTGAGTGGGTGGTTTTATAAGTCTGAGTTAATGTCCTTAAAGTGCTTTGGATATAAACAGGTTGACATTTCCTGCATCTCTGTAGGGTTTTCCATCTTTAACTTCACAGTGAACTCTTGGTGTGCTTTCTATTTCTATGTGGCTTTGCTGGTTCCTTCAGGGTGAGTGGGCAGCAGTGTTCAGGCCAAACCACAGGAGAATCCACAGTTGTCTCAGTGGTCCTCTGATTCCACTGTTGATTTTGGCTGTCCTTCTGAGAGCATACATAGAAGGAATGCTTTTGTGTCCTCACAAAGTGTAACTGCCTGCTATCCTGAAACAGCAGCCTGGCTGAGGTGGCGGCATGGATTTGGAGACCCTTCACTTTGGGGATGTGGCTGCTTCTCCCTCTGTACTGCTGCTCTAGTCTTCAGATATGCCTTTACTGGTGCTAAGCAACTTTGGGGGTGGTCTCTAGAAGGCTCTAAAGGAAGGCGGAAAGGTAAACCAATTGAATCTTGTGAGCGGCAGTTCCTGTTGGCCTTTCCCAAGCAATGGAACTGCCCTCTTGTTTAGTCTCTAGATTTTGATTTTGAGAAATAGATTCTTTCCCTTTAGAAATTCCTTTTGAGATAAAAATATCTCATTTTTGACTGTTTCCAAATACATTTTGACTGTTTCCACTCTGCATTGCTGTTAAATCTTACAGAGGACTTGACATGGATGCAGAATGGTAGTGTAAGGAAAGGTAAGATATCAAAAAACAATAAATCCTTCCTATTGCCTTCCTTGAGGGGGACAACAAAACAGGTGGACTAGGTAGGGAATGTGGCTAATCAAAGAACACGTATCTGTTCTCCTGCTTGCTAGGCATGAAGACAGGTTAGTGATTTTTATAGAGGAGACGAGAATGAGATGTTAATAAGGCATAAACAAAGTAGTACAACCAGAATGATTTATTATGCTTAAATACAGGTGAACACAGAGGGTTCATGGTACAAGTGTGATAGCTTTGTTTCTGGGAGGCCATTACAGTGTGTTGTGAGCTAAAGGAAAGGAAATGCTGAGACGACGTTGTGATAGTAGTTCTCGAAACTCTGTTATGATCATCTGAGGAACTTACAGCAACTGACTCCTTAATGTTTTCTTTTGGCTGAGTTAAGTTATCAGCTTGGCTTCAGGATGAAGGCTGAACTTGGAAGTTTTGAGAGCCCATTCTGCTGTGTTTCCTACGCTGCAGAATAACTGCTCTGGACCAGGAATGAACATCGCTTTATGTAGACAGTGACCTTGAACTTTAGTGGGAGTCATAATCACCTAGGGTGTTCATTAACGACTTCCTATTGCTGTGAACAGGGCTCTTGAGAACAGTTTATAAGGGGCATAGTTCATTGTTTTCATTGCGGTTGGCTCTGTTGATTTTGGATCTGTGGTGAGGTAGAGTGTCAGGGAAGGAGTACAGCAAATGAACTCATCTAGGAAACAAGAAGGAAAAAGGCTTTTCAGGGCATATTTTCAGTGACTTAACTTCCTTCCACTAGGCCCTATGTTTTAGTTTCTGTCGGGAATGCCACAGGCTGGGGAACAAACCTTTATTTAGCTTCTGGGCCTTTTGGGGACATTATACCCAAAGTATAGTACTTCTCAAATTCTGTCATGGATCTGCTGTAGTATGTTGGATTACTCTTTAAGAAATAGTTCCTCCCCTCCCTCCCCAGACAGGGTTTCTCTGTGTAATAGTCCTGGCTGTGTTGGAACTTACTTTGTAGACCAGACTGGCCTCCAGCTCACTGAGCTCCACCTGCCTCTGCCTCCCAAGTGCTGGGACTAAATGAGTGCACCACCAATGCCCGTCGAGAAATAGTATTTTATATTACAGAATATAGGGTCAAAATAAGGCCAGTGGGAACCAGAGGAATTGGACAGGTTTCATGGAATCTGGGACATTAGTGGGTTTCTTTTTCCTGTGTTTTAAAAAATACTTTTAGATTCTGACACAAGGTCTCAGTGCTGCCCTAAAATCAAGGGCTCAAATTAGTCTCCCTCCTGGAGGGGACTATAGTCGAACATTCCTTAATAGTGGCTTTTGAGCTCTTTCTCTCTAAATTGGAATGAATTCAAATCCAGCAAGCAGATATTCCATGTCTTTTATATGATTATATTGCCAAGGTTATTTTCACTACTATGCTAGCCCATAGAGAATGTTGTAAAATAGATTTTGGGCCATGGTATCCTTTGTGTATCTAATAAATCCACAGGTATATATCATTGCCCTTGTAACCTGAGAGCTTTGTGATATAGTGAAGCCATTTAACATTGCAGGTGTTCATGGACTCCAGACTAGTCCTTAGGGTAGACAGAGACTGAGGGCTGTGACATTGTATGGTTATACTTTAGTGAGTGGAGACATGTAGGGGTGTATGCTGTATTCCTTATTGCTGTGACCACCAACACCTGGCAAGAGGTAACTTATGGGTTTATTTTGGCTCACTGTTTGAGGGGATACAGTCCCTCAGAGTGGTGCAGCCATGCATATGGCTGGCCACATGGCTTCTGCAGTCAGGCTGCAGAGAGTTGAGTACTGGTGTTCCTCTGACTTTCTACATTTTGGTTTCCCAGGCCTTGGAGTGGAGCCACTTATGTGTAGGGTGGATCTCCTGCCCTCAGTTACATTTCTCTCTTCCGTCACACTGCTCTGAGTATACTGTCAAGGTCTGGTCCAGAGGTGTGTCTCCTAAAGCCAGCCAAATTGATAAGGAAGCTGCACCATCATAATGAGCCTGCTGCAGTTTAAACATCAACCCAATGTTCTCTGTTATAGTCAAGGACACATGTACACATCTCAGTGCGCCACATCCATTTGCGTTGCTCACAGTGCAGTGTCATGTATGTGCTGGAAGAAGATTTCTGAAGTAAAATATACTGTATCATGTGGTGGAGTGGTCCTCCGTGTCTTTTTGGGGAGGAAGTTGCTGCAAATACTATTTGGAGTCGGGTGTAATTCTTGGCATGGTCCTTGCTGTTTCAGACACATCCCATGCAATGATTATATTAAAGCAAGCTCAATAGTAAATCTGTTCAGCTGAGTTTAAATTCACTCTTCTACGTTTATTTAACTAGGCCGTCTCTTCTCAAAACATTCTTTTACTTCCCAAAGGACAAAGATGGGTAAATATTGGTCTAAGTTCTTCTGGCTGGTTGAACCATAAGTGAGTATGTGGCTGTGGAGTTTTCTCTTTGAAGCTTATGTGCAGAGAGGTCGGACAGCTGGCTCAGCAGTGAAGGGCACCGGCTGCTCTTGCAGAGAACCCATGTTCAGTTTCCAGCACCTACGTGGCAGCTCATAACCATCTGTGACTCTGCTTCAATAGACACACATTAAATAAATTAAAACCAAACACACACATGAAAAAACTCTGTAGACCTTCTGTGTCAGAACTTAGTATAGCTGGGCAATGGTGGTGCATGTCTTTAATCCCAGCATTTGGGAGGCAGAGGCAGGTGGATCTCTGTGAGTCCGAGACCAGCCTGGTTCACAGAGCTACTTCTAACACAGCCAGGCTGTATAAAATAGACGCCCTGTCTCAATCAATCAATCAATCAATCAATCAATCAATCAATCAATCAGTCAATCAGTCAATCAATCAGTCAATCAAACACCCAAAACCTTAGTCCCCTGTGAACTTAGTGTCATGTTTTAAAAAACATCACGAAGGGCTGAGCTCTGACTGTAAGCCCCTTTAAGAAAATAGTGCTTCTGCTTATGTGAAAGAGAACTGAGGACGGCAAGATGTAACCAGGAGCTCAAATCAGAAACACATCTTTTTAAAGAACTTGTCTATGGCTTTTGTTCAGCTGGAGTCTTTTCCAGGAAATAGGTACATTTCAAAAAACAAAAATAAAAAACACCATGGATAAGGACCAGGGAGACAAGAAAAGGTGAAGAAAATGGGCCTTAAGCAAAGGATAGGTGAATTCAATCCCACTACAGTTTGAATAGGTTTGTCCCCACAGCTCACATATGAGAGGCTGGTCCTCACTGTGGTGGGGTGGATCTTTCAGACTTAGAGCCTAGTGAAAGGGCTTTAGTTATTGGAGGTGTCCCCCTGCAAGGGCTGGGAGTGGCACCCAGGCCTGCTGGCTTCTTTTCAGTGGTGCTGTCATTTTCCCCCCTTTGCACACACTTGTCCTCAGAGGCGGAACCACTGTACTGCCCACCCTAGCCTTCCAGCCTTCTAAAGTGTGAGCTACGTAGACTTTGGCAAAATAACACGCTGTGGGTATTTCGTTATAATACTGAAAAGTGGCCGGATGTGAGCACTGTAGGAGGGTGCAAAGTGAAGTGTGTGAATGTACTAGGGAGTGCTCCCTTCCCTCACTCATACAGCAGGCCTGAGAAACTGGCTGTTTCAGAATGACTTTCAGACATTTCATTGATTTCGGTCATACATCAAACCCTGAATAAACAGTTGTGTTTGACTGGCCTGTGTCCTGGCTCTGGATATTCAAAAGGTGTAGTAAGATCTCTGGTAGAAACCACTGTCTCAGAGCAGTTGTGCTGGTCTCTTCTGTGAGGTCCTCCTCCCTCTTCCCTACCCAGCACCTTCTCTTCTGCAGCCCATTTCAAGCCATAAGGATCATGAAACCAAGCATGGCAGCCCTTGTGTTGCTTTCTTATAACGAATTATCTTTTGAAGAACAGATTTGAGCAGAAAACTGGTCAGCTTACTATCCAAAATCCTAAAGACTGCTATTAACTAGCTTGATTCACTGTGCCCTGCCAGACAGATGGTTGACCTTCCCAGAGAAGTTTTCCTGGCTAAGAGCTTGAACTTGACTGAGGCTTCAGCGTACGTATTGACACAAGCCCACCCCCTTGTCCTGGAACCTCTTCAGCCAAGTCTTCTGTTTTTCCAAAGAATCCTGTTCGGGTTGGGGATTTAGCTCAGTGGTAGAGCAAAAGTCCTTGTTTGGGGCCTCAGCTTGGTAGGGGGCCGGTGTTGAGGGTCAGGGGTGGGGACTGGACAAGACAAAATAACCTAAAAAAAACAAACCCAACCTCCCCCAAAACACTCAAACAACCAACCAGCCAAACAAACAAACACAACACCCACAAAGCAACCAAAGAATATTGTTGCTGTTTTAGACTAGAAATAGATTACAGGAACTTTAGGAACTGAATGGGTTTGATGACAGTGAGCTCTTGGGGTATCTCTGCCTTTACCCCTCTGACACGAGTGTTGAGGACTTGAACTCTAGTCCTTAAGTTTGCAGAATAAGTGCTCTTACACATGGAGCCATTTCCTCAGGCCTATGTTTTTCACTTTTTAATTTTTAAAGTCAGGGTCTTATTTTGTAACCTGGTTGGTTTAGAACTCAGTGTAGATCAGGCTGGTATCAACACAACTTTGCCTCAAGTGCTGGGATCTAGGGTGGACAGTACCACACAGCAAGGCCCAGAGTTGAGCTTTTGTTACACTGTTTGCATCCTGTGTAGTGTTGTGTACTTACTGCTCTTAGGGTGGATTGATCTTTGAAGGAACCCTAGTCTGTTTCACTGGTGAGACAGTTTCTCAACATACATAGTTCTGATCTTTAGGGAAGTACCGAAGAAGGAAGAAATGGAAGTATCTATTATGGTTCATAATTACAAATATAAGGTTCTATATTTCTCTTTTGTTTTCAACATATGCAAAATTTAAAAATGAATGACACCCCCATATTTCATTTCTAATATGTGTATCAGTACTGTTTTCATGTGGTGAAGTCAGAGTTTGCTGCCACTGGCTCCCTTTACTTCTGAAGATTGACAGGTCTGTTCCACATTGGTCATTAATATTTATAGTGATTACTCGGTGGACACACAAAGTCCTGTGAATCAACAGTGATGGTATATTTACCCAGCTTCCCTGCCACGTAGCTAATACCTTTTAATTGTTTGGAAACCTGGCATCAATTTGTGATCGTGGTTTTGTTTTTTGGTTTTTGGGAGACAGGGTTTCTTTGTGTAGTTTTGTAGACCAGGCTGGCCTCGAACTCACAGAGAACGACCTGCCTCTACCTCTCAAGTGCTGTGATTAAAGGCATACTCCACCACCGCCTGGCTAGTGATTGTGTTTTTGTTCAGCTTGTTAAAATGCTCTCCACCCCAGTCATTTCTGTTAAGAAACTGTAGGAAGCTACTTGGGGACCTGTTTGCATCTGTTTGCTGGTTTATAGACCCGTGGCTGGAACCAAGAACATGTTGGGAACGCCTTAGGTGACTGCCAACTTTTTCTAACCATGGGATCAAACAGTACATTTTTGGGTGATGAATAATTAAAATATGTACTGAAAAATAATTCTTTTATGCACATGTTTCACATTACAAAATAGGGCCTGGCCAAAGCAAAGCAGAAGAAAAATGGGTTCTGAACCATTGTCTTATGCTTGTCTATGTGCACATTTTCAGGCAGGCTCTTGCTGTGCTGTTCAGGCTGGCTCCAAGCCTTGGGTTCAAGTGGTCCTCTCGTTCAGTATCCCCTGCAGCAGGAACCACAGGCCTGCACCACACACCCGACTTTAGAGCTTGCTTCTCTAATAATAGAGATAGATAGTCTGTTCACACACTAGCCAGGCCTCTGCATTCTTGGCACTGTCTCCGGCCGCACATTATTTGGGTTATAGCATGAGAGATCCACTGGGGACACTCATCTCTTGCTTTGAGCTTATCTCCAATTTATCACTTTGGCGATATAGTAGTATTTGTTTATCACAGCACACAGGCATTCTAGTCTTTATTACGGTGATTTTATAGCACAATTTATGTCTGTGTCTGCATTTAACTTCTGTCATATGGCATAATTAAACAATGTAACCAGTACTTATTGAGCACTTAATTTATGCCCAGAAAAGTATTTAAATTAGTCAGAATGGTTCATATTTTAGCCTAGATGTAAATGCCGATCACCATAGCTTGCTGTTACTTTGTTCAAATTACTAAATGTCTCTGAGCCGTAGCATGGGGTACTTACATTAGTTACAGCAAAGTGCCCTGGACAGATTGGCTTCAGCAGAGCTTCATTGTCTCATCCTTCTGGCTACAGAGATCTGAGGTCACAGTGTCGGCAGTGTGGGATACTCCTGAACCCCTCCTGTTCTGCAGATGTAAATCTTCATACAATCTCTGTGTTAGATTTCTGTAGCTATAACACATGCCTGTGCTAATTTACTTATGAAGTGAAAAGATACATTTGGCTCAGTCCTTTACCAGTTGGTTTCATTGCTTTGGACCTCAAGTGGCACAGTGTGCCATGGTAGGAGTAGCAGAGTAAACTATCCCATGCCTGGGATGGAAAACAGGACAAGACTATGGTCCATGGTCATTGTGAGGGACATATACCCAGTGATCCATACATTGCAGTAGGCCCCACTGTAAAGTTACCATCTTCAGATGGCCTTTTATCTACAAGGCCCTTTGGCTAATATTTTAGATGTGCTCCCCAAGGCCAGTGTATTTGAAGTACCATTGTTGAGAAGGGGACCAATAAGCAGGGTTGACTATGGGAGGTGGTAGTAGCTCCTGGTGAAAGGGTGAGTTCTGTTGGTTTTCTCCACCCCTTTCCAACACTTTGACCTTGGGCTTCTAAGCCTCCAGAACTGTGAACACAAATGTTGGTTCATTACCCAGACTTGGGAATTCTATTAGAGCACTACAAGAGGACCCACCTCTGCACCTGCCTTTATCTTATCCAGGACACCTTGATGGATTAGCCACCCCCCCCCCTGCCCAAAGAACCCGTTTTCACTTTATGATCTCTTCAAAGCCTTTTGTCCAAATACAGCCACATTGAAAGAAGGGGGCTAGGAATTCAACATGGGATTTTCTTATCCTTCCTTCCTCCTCCTCTCTTTATTTGAGTCAGGGTCTCATATCACCCACTAGTTCTCAGGCCTACACTCAAGTGCTGGGATTTTGGCATGTAGCATCAGGCTTATGTGGTGCTGGGGGCTGAGCCCAGGGTTTCATATGTGCTCAGTGTTAACTGGTTCCTTGCTAGAGGTCAGGGAACACCTCTCTTTACACTCTATCATGTGTGAGCAGTAGGTGTTGGTGAACTTGTATTTCATATATGTGCCTCTGTATGACATTCCTTGACCCTGCTGATGCCACTAATAAGTAATTTAAGGCTAGTTCAAGGGTCTTTCTGGGAAGTTCTTAATGTTTGTGCTCTCTTCCCTGCTACTCTCATTTGAAAACAGATCAGGTTTGTTTCTTTAACCTAAAGGAATGCTGGAGCACTTCCTGGGAATAGCAGTGACCTTCAGCTTCCTTTGTCCTTTATTCTTCTGGTGTGGGTTGTGTCTGCCAAAGGACATTTTAGATTTCATGGTTAAAATCTATCTATCTATCTATCTATCTATCTATCTATCTATCTATCTATCTATCTATCTATCTATCTATCTATCTGTCTGTCTGTCTGTCTATCCAACTATCTATCTATCTTCTATTTATCATCTGTCAGCTGTCTATCTACCATCCATCCATCCATCCATCCATCCATCCATCCATCCATCCATCCATTTTTGATATGTTGCTGTTGCTAGAACTCAGGACCTTGTTGGTGATGACAGGCAGACATCCCAGCACTGAGCTATGCTCAGCACTTTTGTGTTGCTCAAGCTTGCTCTGCATTTCTCCTCTCTGTGACTAGGTTTTGCTTTTGGTAGTACTGGCCATTGAACTCAGCTCTTTGAGTATGCTGAACTTTTTTAACCACTGACTTATACTATATGCCATCTATCACAGGTTTGTTTTTTCTTTTGGTATGTGTGTGTTATATCTGTTAGTATGGGACTGTGCAGGTGCACATAGAGGCCTGAGGTTGACATTAGATGTCCTTTGTAGATTGTTTTCCACCTTTCCTTTGGGGGGGATATTTATTTATTTATTATTATGCTAGTCTCGCCTTCATTTTTTTGAGATAAAACTTATCACTTTAGCTAGGCTGGTTGTCTCTGTCCATTCTTGGTGCTGGGGTTATAGGACATGCTGCAATCCCTGGGTTTACATGGGCTCTGGGGATATGAACTCTGGTCCTATCTCATGTGCAGAAGGCACTTTACTGACTGAGCCATCTCTCTAGCTCTGCTTTTATTATCCCTGTTTTTAAAACCATAGTTGTCTGCATAGATCAGAAGTTGGGGGCAAGGTAGGGCAGGTGAGTGAGAAGCAGCCTGAAAGGAAAAATGGGAACAGACTTACGGACTTCCTGTCTGAGTGCAGACATGTGCACCATGGTGAGTGACTGATGGGAATTCCTCCAAGATGTGCTTCTCAGCTGCTGACAGAGCTTTAGCAATCCTGCATCACTCTGAGGACTGCACGTGAACTCCTAGGGTATAAATGGTCACAGCTATTTAATTTGTTGGTTTCTAGGAGAAGATATGTGTTCTATAAATAACTTAAAGCGTTTGCAGGCTTTTTTCCTTATTAATTAGGAGAACCTTCCCCAAGTACTCTTGCAGTTGAGCAGGGTCAGTTATTGAAGCTCTCCAAATGGAGCTTGGTTTCCTGAGAGCTATTTTGGTGTGGTGGATAAGTGCAGCTGTTCATATCTCTTAATATTTTACTCTGAGTCATTGAGTGGGCGGAGCTGATTTGTACTCCAAAAGCTGTGTGGAGGCAGTTAGGTGGGACTCTTGTATAATCGACTAGGAAAGATTTAGACAGACCCACATTGTGTAATTGAGTGGTAAAAAAAAAGAATATATCACGTGTAAAATCTTGGCAAGTATCTTTGCATTTGCTTTCCCTCTATTTTGTTAGTGGAAGCAGAAGATAGGTCCTTTTGGCTGGATATGTAGCTTAGTTGGTAAGGACTTGCTTAGCATGCAGGAAGCTGTGGGTTCAGTCCCCAGTACCACGTAAACCAGACATGATGGCTTATGCCTGTAATCCCAACACTCAGGAGGTAGAGGCCCCAGGATCATTGTCATTGTCAGGTCATTGTCAGGCTACTTAATGAGACCAGTCTGGCTACGTGGGATCTTGTCTTTAAAATAAAATAAAATAAAATAAAGATAGGGTTCATTGAAAATATTTAGAAGAATGAGGCTCGGTATTACACGGAGAGCATAGGTTTTGTGGATGTGAGGCTGTGAGTTTGACTTTTAGCACCATACACACAAAGGTTAAAAGTATGCATGTTGATTGTACACCGGTGTTACTTTGTGGGCAATTATAAATGTATGAAAGACCCTTCCCGTCCCCCAACTTCACAGAGTTTCACAATAATTGCTCCTAGTTCATCACAAGTTCGAATTTTGCTCTGTCTTGTATGTTCATTGCCTGCCTGCCTTCCTTTTTTTTTTTTTTTTTTTTTTTTTTAAATGAAACGGCTTTTGGCCAGGCTTGATTGTTGGATCCCAGCTACCCAGGGCTGGTTTGGGAAACAGTGTTCAGTCTTACTGGCTGTTGTAGGAAGCAGCTCAGGTCCCTGTGTGGTCAGAAATGTTTCATTCTGGGCAGAGATGGTGCATTCTTAGTTATGACGGAACAAACTGACATGGCAGTGTTTTCTGGTATGTGGTTTCCAGGTTACTGTGATCTTCCAAGTAAGGATTTAAAAACCATTATGTTTTTCCTGGGTGAAGTTTAAAACAGTCCACTAAAAAGCATGTGCTGTCTTGAGTAATAAAAGCCTAGAGTCCAAGTGGAATGATAGGCCATCCTGCCGGGAGAAGAAGGAGGTGAGGGGTGTGATGTTGGTTCTGTGTCTTGGACTTTAGCTGTGAGTCAGTCTGCTGGTCTGCTCTGAGATGCTGGTGAATTGTGGAGCTGGTGATGCGCTTGTTAGAATGGCTTTCTTTTATTCATGGAGCACAGCCTGGAAGGTAGTTTGCAGTTGCTTGGGTAGTGTGCATCAGCTGGGAGTGTGAGCCTGAGAACCCCACTGTCTGGGTGACTCCCCGCTGGCTATGTCTGCTATGTGGGCTTGGGCAAGATCCTGGCCTCTCTGGGCCCCAGTTTCTGTAGCTGCCAGATGGAGGTAATGAACATTTAAAGGTGGCTGTGGTAATGAGTTACTGCCTCTAAGGTGTGTGACAGAACCTTACAGGAACTTAGTCCTGTATTGGTATAGACTGTCCTGTCCTTAGAACATTGGTGTAAATTCTTTGGTCAGACCGAGTTGATACTCTATTCCTGTTCACCATTTCTGACCTAGTTTGTCCAGCTCAAATCTTAAGTTCACCAGGTTAGGTGAACATGAACCCTTAGTGGAGTCTGCATGGCAAAATCCCTTGCTTTAGATAGCCAGTGTGTGTTGATGGTTTTGGCTTGCACGTAGAGTGTAGAGGAGGAGGACATGGCTAGGGTTTGTGTCTGCTTTAGGATGAGGTTTCCATTTGAGTGATTTTGAGATCACAGCTTTACTTATTTCCTCCTAGCTTTGTCCATTTTTTTGCATGTATATTTATTTATTCTCAATCTTCTTGGCCCACACTTTTGTTTGTGCTATGGTATAAGGCCACCTAGGGGCCGGGCGTTGGTGGTTGGGAGGCAGGCGGATCTCTGTGAGTTCGAGGCCAGCCTGGTTTCCAGAGCGAGTACCAGGATAGGCTCCAAAGCTACACAGAGAAACCCTGGCTCGAACCTCCCCCCCCCAAAAAAAAAGCCACCTAGGAGTTACACAGCTTGTTTGGGAAGGTTGCATAAACTCATATGCTGCTTTACGTGTGTGTGTGTGTGTGTGTGTGTGTGTGTGTGTGTGTGTGTGTCTGTCTGTCTGTCTGTCTGTCTGTCTGTCTGTCTGTCTGTCTTTCTCCCCAGCTTGCAGAGATGGAGACAATAAACAGAGTCCTTCAACAGTACATACTTGGTTACATGCCCCTTAATGGGTTGCCAAAGCCCTTTCCTCCTTGAGGATTGGGGGCGGTGGGGGAACAGGGGCACAGAGGGTGGGGAGAGGGAGGGAGGGGGAAGGACACACATTCGAGGGAAAGAGCAAGAATGAATGAGAATAACTGTGTATGTATATATCTGTAGAGCTAGAGGTTGATGTTGGGTGTCTTTTTCAGTAGCCCTCCATTTATTTTTCGAGACAGGATGTTTCACTGAACTTGTAGCTCCCTGACTGGGTTAGATTGATTGAATAGGTAGTTCCAGGTGTCTGCTTGGATTTAAATCATGGCTTTGTGGCTCACTTGCTACACATAAGCTAAGCAGTGAGCCTTAGTTTCTTGTTGAATATTGGTCTCTGCTCCCTTTTGCATATAGGGAAAGGTTGTAGAACAAACACCTTGTCAGAAGCAGTAAATCTCCAGTCTTGAAGTTGGTAGCATTGTTGACCCCCAATAGAATGCTTACTGTGTCTTAGTTATTGTCTTGAGGAATAATACATTTGTTAGGCCTGTACTACTGCCACAATACCCATTGTACTTATTAGGGAACCGATGTATGGAAAAGTTATATTGAATCCAGACTTTAATCTCGTCCTGAATGTCAGTTTGCAGTTTCCCTGATGGAGAAGTTTTTGGTACTGTCTCATTCTTCTCATCATATAAAGCCACTTCTTCCTGACCTTTTAGGTCTCTGCATAGCACTTTGCATGTTGTGAGTGCATTGTCATCTATAGACCTGCCCCTGGGCTACAGATGCAAACTGCACAGAGACTGAGCAGATGTCATTGGTGGAATGTTTATAGATGCTCTCTTTCATCGTAGGGCCTGTGTCCCCTCTCAGGAATGCCTTGTTGTGTTTCCAACTGGCAGCTTGGGAAGCCATGTTGTGGAACAGTTGATAAATGGTGAAAGGGAGGCTTTCCAGACCCTTCACTTCCTTGCTTATGCTTGTTTAAGCCCAGCTAACTTGGAGCTACCTGCAGCTGCTGGTTTGATAGAAAGCAAGCACCCCTCATAAGAGTGATGGTGGTTTTGTGGAGCTCAGATTCCATCAAAACACAGACGCACTTTTGCTGTTGTGAGGCTAAAAGCATATTTTGGGATTTTTCTGATCCACAAGGGCAGCGATAGCAGAGTGAATGTTTGGTGTGTATTCTGTCTGGTCAGGAGCTTGTCTTTTCTCCCTGTTGACTGCAATCACACTGAGATTCTGGGTCTGTGTGTTTGGCTGTACTCATCACTGACCAGTCCTCAAAAACCCTGGCAGCATTTGAACTGGCAGCAGAGTGTGTGTGATGCACTCAGAGCTGCCATAGTCATCCACTGTCTGAGTGTCAGTGGTACTGATGTCAGACTGCTGATCATGGATGTGCCAGACTTTTTTTTGCCATGTATTCATGTCTCCTTAGTATTCAGAAATTGGGTTTTCTTGCTTTGCCAGTTGAATGTATTTCAACCTTGTCCTCATGTTGACCCAAGGCCTGATATTGTAGCTTCTGTCAGGCAGATGCCTAGCTGCTAATCACACTGACAGGGCTGTACTGGTGACTCCTTCACACACTGACAACCTGTTTCTCTCCCTGGCAGGATGAATTGTGAGGTGTTAGGGGACTGTTTTCTTTGAATTTCTTTCAGTAGTGTATGCCCTCATTTGTCTTGGCTCTTATGGTTGTTTGTGTATTTTTAGCAAGCCTGATTTCGGAAAACAAGGCTTGTTTCCTCTAGACCAGGAGGGTTCCTGGAACTTGAAAAGCACTCTGGGGGCTGTAAACCCTCAGCATGAAGAGGCCTGATGTTCCTCTAGAGACCCAACAGGAGCACGGTGATCTGCAATGTGGACTTGTGTCCTATGGGCCTGGCTTTGCATTCACAAAAATTGGATTTGAATTTGTTTTGTTGAGTGTTGAGGGTGTAGGTGTGAAGTGGTCCAAGAGCCTCGCCTCTAGAGCTTGCTTCTGAGCAGCAGTGTTCAGAGGTGTTGGGCTCCTCTAAGCTCATGCACCGATTAGGTCATTGATGGACTGTGGCAGACAGACAGTGGGAGGTGGGAGAACTGGAGGAAGCTGGGCTGCCTCAGGCTTCTGTGAGGTCAGCAGCGCTGCTATATTCTCTTCTACCATGGTGTTTTGTCTTGTCATAGAACCAAGGACAGCGTATCAGTCCAACCTTAGACTAGAAACAGCCACAATTCATCCTGCCTGGGAGAGAAACAGGTTGTCAGTGTGTGAAGGAGTCACCAGTACAGCCCTGTCAGTGTGATTAGCAGCTAGGCATCTGCCTGACAGAAGCTACACTATTTTGGCCGGGCGTTGGTGGCGCATGCCTTTAATCCTAGCACTCGGGAGGCAGAGGCAGGCGGATCTCTGTGAGTTCGAGGCCAGCCTGATCTCCAGAGAGAGTGCCAGGATAGGCTCCAAAGCTACACAGAGAAACCCTGTCTCAAAAAACAAAAACAAAACAAAACAAAACAAAACAAAACAAAAAACCCAGCCAAAATCAATTATCTTCTAACTTGATTTTTATGTTCTTTTGTGATTGTGATG